GCCTAAAGCCCCCCCCCTCCCACCAGTGTTCCCCGTAAGCCGGGAGCTTGTGCGGCCACTCAGGAGAGAGTCAAATGCCATCCACAGCTCGGTTAAGAGTTTCTAGTGGTGGTGCACATCTGCTCATGCACCGGTGCACCGAACAAAATTTATCCCACACACACAGATGGGGAAAAACCCACACATATGGATAAAAATGAGCCTAAAGCCCCCCCCCTCCCACCAGTGTTCCCCGTAAGCCGGGAGCTTGTGCGGCCACTCAGGAGAGAGTCAAATGCCATCCACAGCTCGGTTAAGAGTTTCTAGTGGTGGTGCACATCTGCTCATGCACCGGTGCACCGAACAAAATTTATCCCACACACACAGATGGGGAAAAACCCACACATATGGATAAAAATGATTAGCAGGAACATCCCCCCCATCTCCTGAGCCAATCAGTCTCAAGGCGGCTTTGCTTTGCCCTCCCTGCATTGGGAAACCCATCACCATCCAAGATGTCTCTGGGGGATACGCAGGGAGCAGCACAGAAAATAAACCAAACCTGCCTCCAGAAAAACCCGGCCAAGTATCCGCAGCGCGTGCGCCAAAGGATGCTCCACTGGCTGGGGAGGCCTCATCCCAGCCCCTGGGTGTCTGCAAATATTTTGACCTTTGCCTGAAGGATGATGTGAAAACAGATCCCTGGCTCGTCTCCAGCCCAGCCCTTTCCCCCGGCGCCTCTCCTGCATACGCCCTCACCCTGCCTGTCAAGCCCTCTGCCCTGGGAAAAGTGCGCCTGAGACGTTCCCCGCTCTGAACGGGCCGGGGGAGGAGGAGGAGGATGGGGGGAAGCCGATACTGGCTGCCGATCCCCCCGGCTTCTTGCTTCCTGCCTCCCGCTCGGCTCGGCACAGATCGTTAGGGACGAGCCACATCCTGTCTGGCGGGTAATCCCATCCCATCCAGCCCTCGGCTTGGGGCAGGAAGTATCACTTAGCCTGGCATCAGCTGCCCCGCCGGGATATTGACCAGGGTTCTTGCGGGAGCTCTTGCTCTGAGATCAGCCCCCTGGGGCTGATGCGCCGCTGCTCACATGGTCTTTGTGCAGCAAGCCTTGCTGATGGTCTAGTTCCCTTTGCGGGGGGGACGCTGCCAGGGGCTTTTTGGCAGACCCTAGAGGTGACGGACGCCTGCCTTTGAATGCCTGGCCATGCACAGGTGACAGTCTCCATAGACACCCCCGTCTGCTGGAACACAGAGCAGTAGGAGCCGGCGGTTCCCAGGGGCCGAGCCGCAAACCCTGCCCATCCCTCCGGAGCACACGCCAGCTAAGGAAACAGGCACGTGTGCCTCCGGAAAACGCTGCGCCAGGGACGGGCCAAACCGGGCGCAGTTTGGACTTTGCAGCCCTTCACCCACCTCAGGCCTGGGATGCTTTTGCTCCAGGCCCTGTTTGAACCCGATCCCCCACCCCCATCCCAGACTTAGCGCACGGGCCCGTCGGCCAATCAGCTCCGCCCGCTCCTGGCAGCAAAGAAGTGAAGCTTTGTCGAGTCGAGTGACAGCTGACACAACCAATGACCCTGCAAGACGAGGCCCCGTGGTCCTCAGACACGGCAGCCGAGGGGTGGGAAGGAGTAGAAAGAGACGCACGCACATTGGTTCCCACTCATGCAGGAAGGAACACGTGAAGAAAATGACCCAGGGACTGGAGCACCTCACAGTCCATGCGCACGTTCCCCCACAGTGAGGGGGCGTGGCAGGGCAGTGCTGTGATCCACCCCCGTGAATGGGGAAACTGAGGCACAGAGGGACTATGATTTTTCCCAAGGCCACCTCAAGAACTGAACCTAGGTGGTCTCCTTCCTCTCCCACAAGCCATGCAACTGCTCACGCGGCGATGCACGGAAGCCCCGTATGCCCACAGCCTCTGCAAACACGCCACCGTCCACACCCGACACAACCCCCCAACTCACGCACACGCACAGCCCATCTACACAGAGATTCTGACCCCACCTACTAGGTTATGGTTGACTGCTGGGCTGGAGCAGCTCCGCCCTCTCCCCTGTTAAATCGGTGCCGGGTTAGGTGGATACGTCTACACGGCAACACTATTCCGAAATAGCTTCGTCCGCGTCTGCACAGCAGGCAGCTATTTCGCGCACACGCCGAAAACCTGTCATGCTGGAGGAAAGCTTCCTCCGGCTCCGGGACCCCGCGTTGTACGAGGAGGGAGGGAAGACGGGGGGAAGGCTCTGTGGAGAAACAGGTGCAGTGTAAACGCTCCCTGCTGTGTAGACGCACCCAACCAGCTAGCTAATTCACTGGGATTTTACATCCCTGCCCTCTTCCCGGGCCCCGGGCCCCGCCCGTACACAGACCCTGCCCCCTAACTCCTAGAACTAGAAGGGACGGGGGCAGGACCAAGTGAATCCAGACCCTCCCCCCCCCTCCCGACAGGGCTTGCCAAACCTGTTCTGAACCTCCACTGGCCGGGGATCCCGGCCTCACGT